CCGTCATGGCTGATGGAGCGCACTGCAGATCGTCAGCACCCATCACAGAAGTCTTGCGACCCAGTTCCCAAGGCAATGGTTTGACTATGTTGCGTGCGTGCGTGCGTGCCAGACTGACCTTGACTTTATGTTGGCGCTTTACGCGTCAGCCTCGGAGGCAGACCGCTGCGAGCGAGTCGAGTAGCAGCAGTCGACGACGTTGCCATCGGCGTCAAGCTTAGGCTCGGGCTCGGGGCTGGCCTCGCGCTTCTCCTCGGCGGTGCCTGCGTTCCACTTGCTGCGAGTAGAATAGGTATCCGGAGTGACCTCGCGCTTGTCCTCAGCAGAACCGGCGTTCCACTTGTTACGAGTCGAGTAAGTGTCCGGAGTGATTTCGCGCTTGTCCTCGGCAGAGCCAGCGTTCCACTTGCTGCGGGTGGAGTAGGTGTCCGGAGTGATGTCGCGGGCAGCAGACTCAACCGGGGCGGCGATGGCGCCCGCGGCGAGGAAGGCGACGGTGAGGGGGACGATGCGGAACTGCATTTTGAAGTTGTGGTTGGTTTTTGCTGGAGGCTGAATGTGAAAGTGAGAAGGAGTTGAAGACTGAGTTGAGATTGATACAGAAACAAGCACTCCGAAGTGGCTCAGTCTTTGACCTTATATACATGAAGCCCTCTCGTTAGCATCACAGAGCCTATCGGACAAGACTATCCTCTTCGTTGATGAGCACGCAACATTAACCCACTTCACCTTGCCCCGATGCAGCGACAGCCACCAGGGCCATGATCATCGACCCGCTACGCGTATTCCTGAAGCCCTGAGTCGACTTCCACAATCACGAAGCGAGCGTTTCTCGAGTCCAGTCTCTACCATGATTTCCCGATGGATACCTTACTCCTCTTCGTCATCTCTTGGCGGAGTACTTTTGTCAATCTTGCACAGAGCAGGCAATCTAGAAGGGGCCAGGCTCGCACCTTCGCGGTTTACTCAGCGGTAAGCAAACTTACTTGGCGTTTTTGGGGATTTGTTACCGAGCCCGGAACAACTATCAGATCTCAGGGGTCTGTCTTTTCAAGCATCTGTGCAGTGAATGCTTGATCATCCCACCAGAACTAGGCAACGACATAAGTCTGGAGACTAGACTTCGCTTAGGAAGTCCAAGGTTGCATTGTCGGGGCTTCGACGGATGAAGGGTACAATCAATCGTGGGGCGGTACCCACTATCTTCAACCTTAATGTATCAGTGAATCAGGTAACCGTTTAAGTACCTAGTACCTGGTACTGGGTAGTACTCGAAGAGGGTTTGACGGTACCTGCCCTTGGGTCTGGCACATGGCATTGAGTCCCCGCCTCATTTTTCAGTTGATTATGCGGAATATGTGGAATATGCGTTGAAGCTGCGAGTTGATGAGATGTCATGCTCAGATCAATTCGTGGACATGAAGTGCTTGTGTTTTTCCAAAGACTGCAGCAAACTTACCAGGTAGTAATTGCCTGATTCCACGAGCCTAGAATGTCCGCTTGATGCCAAATTTTCCATCTATCTTCCGACCTACTTTACTGAACTGAACAATCAAATTATCGTGATACAAACACTCCAGCATCATGCAGATAGTACTACTACTCGTAACAACTGCACATACTCTGGCCGTCAGCCAGAAAAGCCGTCCACCCACGTGTCGGGATCCAAAGGATCATTCATCTCGCGGTGCTCATTGTCCATGTTGTGGTAGACGGCATGTTTCCTGGCCCACTCCTGAATCTTGTCGAACCTCCTGCACGTGTGGAGAATTGTGCCCATCTCCATGTTCTTCTTCTGCTTCTTGTTCCACCTCCACATCAGAACGCTGATGTCCGCGTTGCACATGAGAGATTTGCCGGATGGCGTCAATACAGTGATCAACATGGTCATGGCCGAGGAGTTCGTCCTCCTCTCCAGCGTGAGGACCGGGGGTGTGCGGTTTGTAATACTCGGGATGCAGGGCCTGTCGAACCATGTTCTATAGCGACTTGAAGTCAGCAACTGCTCCAGTTTTGCTCGTAGTAAAGGTAAGGTAGGTAAATACTGACAAGGCAGTGAAGCTGGTGGAATACGTCCAGTTCAACGAGATATCGTCGCTGCTCGTCATGAGGGAAAATGATCGTCTTTGTTTGGCAGCTTGGCCGCCATCTCTCGTGGGATCAGATTGATTCCCACTATTCACGGTGTCAGAAAGTTTCTTCAAACTGCTAATTTTTGTTTACATGCGCTTACTATCATAGAGATTGGACCAGTTCTTGTCCAGTTCAGGAGAAGGCTGTCCCTGGAACTCGGTTGTATCGCCGTCCAATCCAAGACGGAACTTTCGAACTTCGTATTCGAGAGCATTTTGCGCAGGGCCTGTGGGATGTTAGACCTCCTCAGTATCACTGAAGGCTTTGTTGACTCACTGTACAGCATCTGTGGAAAGATGGGGTTGGTCGGCCCGCGCCTCTGGTATTGGTGCAATACCCAGTGGGATAGTCCGAGAAACAAGGTCCACGGAATCAAGCTCATCCAAGGTACTCGGGCTTGGAACTTGAAGATCCCACGGCGTCTGGAAAAGGGTCTTGCTTGCAGTTCCCTGCCCGGGCTCATTTCGACATCCTCGACGCCGTCCGCCTCTTCAGACATCAGAGGCTCATCGAAGTCGTCTGCAGATTTGCTCGGCATCTTGAAAGTTGTGAAACTCAAATTCGAAAGTCGATTTGTTTCCAACATGGACGTCTTCTCGCTGGAGGACAGCCGGGGAACGTGAGTCTGGCTTGACAAAGTGAGAAAGTTGGACGGAGTCGGCAAAATGTGAGAGATGACGGTGCTAGATTCACCCAGCACGGTATGCTTGGAGATAGTTTGCTATGCTGGACAAAAGTCACACAGATTCGACACTGAACCAGAATATTACGTGGTATATTATCAACAAGGAAGGTAGTAGCCCGCCTTATCCTTACACCCACTCCACATGTTCATGCGTGCGTGGTCCAATGTCACGGGTTTCGAATAACGTCCCGTCCGATGATTGCAGTATAGGGATCCACCTCAACTCCTTGCTTCCCCAGCCAGCGGCCGATGGACGACCGTTTCGGCTACTCCAGGTCCCCACACTTCTAGGTAACCACATTTGTCTTGGCAGGGCGGTAAGGCTAGATGGTCTAGAACCGATTTCATGGATGTGGGTTGAAACCTGGAGCCTGGGTGAGAATAGACCCGAACTCGGTACTTGGGCGACCAGGAGGGGCCTGGAGTGGCACGGGTATGTCGTATAAGATCCACGCGATATCCTGCCCGGGTGCAAACCAGGTCCCTTTGTGACCCCCTTCCCCCCCCCCCCTGCGGAACTTTGGTGTGTGCTATTGCATCAAACCATCCAACACCTCTTTCTTTTCGTCAATACCTTCCCTACATCAAGTTTTTTCCTCCATCACTCGCAATGTTTGGCCTCAATTCCTACGTGTTTTCACTCTTGCTCGCATCTACCATCCCCTTTCTTCTCTATCAAGCATGGCTCACGGTCCTCGGTGATCAACACCCGACTTCCAGCTCGAGCTCGACCCGCGAGCTGCTGATTGACAGTGAGGATATTAGAGGACGAGAGAACATATGGTCGGATTTAACAGTACGTGAAAGCATCGACTTGATACAATGGCTTCATAGCCCCGGCTCAAGTCTGAACCTGACGTCCGTCGGGTTGGCTACACAAGCCGACGACATCCTGCTGGTTGCAGAACTGCTCCGACCCAACAAGACAGATGCAATTGCGTTTCTTGACCGAAGTGGACCGGCGCCGTTACGGTTCGCCCGGGTGACGGTCAAGCGCAACTCGGTTGAACCGCCAGACGTGGCGGAGTTCTTGGTCGGGCCGCTGGGGCACTCCGGCCAGACGATCGAGCCTCTGCGCTTCGTTTACAACAGCGGCAGAAGCGCAACCGTCAACCCTGCTGCAGACGTCGTGGCGCTGTCGCGCTGGATGGATGAGATTGCGCTGGAGGTGGCTGATATCATCGACAACCTCCTCCGACGGCCACTGCACGGCCAGACGCAGGACAGCGCGGGGCAGGATGTCCTCGAGCCCTCCAGCAATGACCAGACGTTTATAGAAGATGGCCGGGTCGTGCGATGGGTGACGTTCTTCCCGGTGTCCGATGCCAGCACGCTGCTTCCTCAAGGCTTGTACCTCAAAGCAGACACCACGGGGCGAGACCCTGCGCAGTGGAAGGTCGTCATGTGGCTCTACAACGGAATCACGTACCCGAGCACCAAGGAGTTCCGAGCCACATGGCAGTCGTCTGGGTTTGAGAAACTCGAGAGCGCCATCGACGGGACATGGACGGCGCTCGAGCCCGACCTGCCTCCCGACAACGAAGATTACTCGACCAACGCACCGCCGCACGTGGTGCAGGCCCAGGGCTCGCGGATCAAGCTCGACCGGGCGGAGTCGTTTGTGTCGTGGATGGGCTTCAGCTTCAACCTTGCCTTCTCGCAGTTCAACGGGGTGGCGCTGTACGACATGCGGCTCGACGGCGAGCGCGTCATGTATGAGCTGAGCCTTCAGGAGGCCATGGCGCACTACGCCGGCAACGACCCGATCCAGAGCAGCACAGCCTTCCTCGACAGCCTCTTTGGCGTGGGCACGCAAGTGGCGGCGCTGGTGCCGGGGTACGACTGCCCGGCCTACGCGCACTTCTTCAACGTGTCGTACCACCGCATAGAGACGACGGCGAAAGAACTCTGAAGGGAAAATAGAATGCGTGGCTTGGGTTCTTCGCATTGTAGGTTGCTGGATTTTAACTAGGTTGCATGCATTCAAAGATCAGGCGGTAAGGCTGGTAGCCATCCCGTAACGACTGGTATTGATACGGATTTCATTCAGGTTTAAGCTGCTTTGTTGACTCTCTCGCCATGTGATGGGGTTTACCCCTGAACGTTAAACAATGACACGGAGCCCAGGTGGGTACATGAGTTAGCAAGCGCGCCCCAAATTCTCAACAAATTAACTACGGTTGGTCGTATAGTGTAGCGGTTATCACATCGGATTCTGATCTTGTCAAGATTTCCGATAACCCCGGTTCGATTCCGGGTATGACCTCATTTTTGCACCTCACAGCAACACCAATGGCCACAACAAGACGTCGCCTTGATGTCGCATTCAATTTCCTTTTTCTTCTTTTTGTTCCATGCAACTATGAATGCGAGTGTTGGTACGAATGAGTCACTAGCAATCATTTGTTCACAGCCCTGCGTCGACTTCAAGCTGTCATTTTTATGAGGCGCTTTCACCCATTGCGACCGCGGACAACATTGACCAAAACCCCCATCAGACACCAAAAGTCCACACACACTAAGCCTGTTCCCTCAACCTAAACGCTTTGAGAATAATCGCCCGCATTGTCTCATGCGTGATGGGAATATCCCTCCCACCCACCCGCTGTCCCCTGACCTCGTCCTCCCTCGCCCAGACAAAGTCCTGATGCTCATTCGGATCGAGCCTGACAGCCTCACAATCAACAACATCCGCAATGAACACAAACCGACAGAACCACCGGGTGGCGTTCCGGTTCGGAAAGACATGCAGATCGGTCCCGTCGCCGAAGCCGGTGACGGGCGGGCCGAAGCGGCGCGCCACGAGCCCGGCCTCCTCGCGCAGCTCGCGCGCCGCGCCGTGCACGATGGTCGTGTCGTCGTCGTCCACCGCGCCGCCGGGGATCTCCCATCTGTCCGGCATCGAGTCGTGGCTGGCGCGCTGCACGAGGAGGACCTTGCCCGCGGGGTTGAAGACGACCACGCCGGTGGCGAGGCCGTTGAGTTTGAGGTTGGCCTCTTGCAGCTTGGTTGCGTTGCGTGTGAGCCATTTTGCTGCAGGCATGGTGAATTCGGCGAGGCTTGCGGCGATTTCGAAGTCGGGAGGCGCAGGGTCCGAGTCGTGCGAAGCCGCCATTTTTGGGGCAGGCTGTTGGGGATGAAATGAAGAAAACGCTGTGGATTGCTGATGCTGAACTTGAAGACAATCCTGGAAAGAGTGCAATTCAATACTGTGCTGTCAGACTGGCCAACGATTGTGTTCATGAGATGCAGGTCCGCCAAGGGCTGAGCGATTGAAGCTACAATGCAGCCTGCGGACTCATTAAGGTACATGTAGCTTCAGGTCCTGTTGCTGCCTGGTCATGCACGTACTGCCCTCCGCTGCAGGCTGCCTGGCGGGGCAGTTCTCCGGCCCGGGTGTTAGGCAGCCAACAAGCGTGGTCAAGAACCGCCGGGCGTGCAACCTCCGCGATATCAAAGCTTCCTACAACCATCATTGACAAGAACCAGGTTCCGTGGTGTAGTTGGTTATCACGTTTGCCTAACACGCAAAAGGTCTCCAGTTCAAGCCTGGACGGAATCAACTCTTAGTTTTGCCTGCCATCTCCACACAGTGGAGCTTCCATTTTTGCATCCTGCTACGAGCCGCCCATCAGCTGAGATTGTGGTGGGATTGCGGTGTAATCCTTTGGGGACTTGACGGCAACCACTTCTCGGTGGCACTAGAGGCTCTTTCTTATCCTGTGATAGTCCAAGGTTGAGAGACAACTTGAAGTACCATGGATGTGTATAGTTCAAAGTTAGAGTGCCGAGGAGGTGCTGTTTTATCCCAGTTGGGAAACAACGCGAAGGGAACGGCTTACGTTTTTATTGAATTCCTTCATTGCAGTTCAACGAAGAAACGTGTCCAATTAAGTCACACCAGTCTTTGGGTGGAAAGGAGAAGCCATCCAAATCACGTGTACCTCGTTCGAGAATTATAAGACCAATATGAGTGCAACGTTAGGTCACTAATAACATTTGTGTAGTGTTGCCATCGTTGGTGGAAACCGGCTTTCTAGACATTGAAGACAGCTCGAAATGAAACGTGCATCGATTCTTGACATCCCAAACAATCATTCCCAATTCCCAGGCAGGTGGTCAGCCACGGTAATTGCTGGGGGCGTGGATTTATCCGCCCCTTTTCACAGTGCTTTGGACAACAATGCGGAGCGGGCCACTTTATCCCCTCCAGCCTGATGAGCAGGAATTAGCCAGCGACAATATAGGAGGGCGTCCATAAAAATATTCGCGACTCCATTGGTGTACCTGTCCTAGACCATCTGCCGTCCTCCGGGGAGGCGAACTATGGCTGGCTCCGCCAGTTTGATTGGGTCTGGACGAATCAGCTCTTGGACGCCCGATGTGGGCGTCCTCAATTGCAAGATGACCATGATCTATTGATGTACCCCGGAAATTCCTTCTTGATTACGCCCGTATAGAGCCCGGAACTTGGCCGCCGGGAAGGTTCGACTTTATAGTGCTGGATCGCCGACATATAAACGTCTGCCCCTCTGGCGCTGAGCGATGATGCCGTGCCCAGACTTTGACAACTTTGCAATCCCGGAAGAAACTAGGCAGCTTTCGTGTAATCGCAAACACCTAAGATCAAGATGCTGACTTCACCTCTCCTCCTGCTCGCGCTCGCTGCGACTGGCCTCGCCCAGGTCACCATCCCCGAGGGCTACCGCAAGGTCTACATCACCTCCAACGTGAACACCAAGTTCGTCGTTGTGCCCAAGGCAGCCAAGAGCGGTAGCACCCTTGTTGTGTACGTCTTGCCTTCAATTGGACGAATCGCATGTCAAGAGAACGTTCAGTCTAACGGTTGCCTCACTTCAGCCAAACCCTCAACAACAAGCCCGAGCAGCAGTGGTACATCAAGGCCAACCAGACCAAGATCCAGCTCGCCGATACGAAGCTCTGCGTAGATGCAGGCGCCAAGAGTAAGCCTCGAAGGGAAGATATTTCGGGAGGAGACACGAGAGCTGATGCGAATGAAATAGGCAACTGGAAGGACATGGGTAACCTCTACGTCAAAGAGTGCTCCGACACTGAGGACTCGCAGAAGTTCCTGGCTCTAGCCGACGGCCGTATCCAGCTCGAGAAGTCCAGCCCTGGTGAGTGCCCGCCCTTCATTTTTGTTGCTCGTTCCATTCCGTGCATGCGGTGAAGCATGACTGACACCCAGGTAGCCGAGTGCATCGATCTCCAGTACATGAAGGCCGCCGCCAACAACCCCGTGGGCTTGTACAGCTGCGCAGGTCTGGGCAATATCGGCGCGGCGGACAAGGGTATCAACTGGCCACTGGCCAATGCCACTACTCCATAAGCAGGGACTGCTTTGGCGTCTGGCCATCGCTAGGTTAGCAATGCTGTGTCACGATGGGACACGGAGTTCCATGAACCTGAGATTGGACCGGGCCACGGAATCACAGTCTGCTTTGCATGTACTAGAACATCAAGTAATGCAGAGTGTGTAAAATGCTCAATCATTTGTCGCCTCCCAAGGGATCTCCCACAAACAACGAGAGGCATTGAACATGAACTCTATGCGAAACGCTAAAACCCAGCGGCGCTCTGATCGGGCTGCCTACTTCAGTTTCAGGGTGTAGTCGCCTTGAAACCTCTTCTAAGTCGTTTCAACGGAGCCGACCTTCCAAACTGCCAGGCTCTTACTCGCGTCAATCGTGGCAAGATAACTGCCATCTGGAGAGAAATACAGCTCTTCCACTGCCGGTTTGGTGTCATCACGAAGCGGGCCGTTCCGGATGGGAGCCGGCTCCAGCTTGCCCCCATCCCTAGCCACCCACGACAGGATGGCCCCTTCGCTGCACCCAGCCAGCAGTTGGAGTTGGCCCACCCCCGGACTGAACGCCACAGACCAAATACGCAGCCTGTTGTCGCGGCTTTCCATCTTCTGGATCAGTCTCCAGACCTCATTGGCATCCACTGCCCATATCCGGATCGTTGTGGCCACGTGGTTCACCCAGGCAAGCCACTTGCCGTCGGAGGACAACGACAGCGAGCTCACGCCGACATCTCTCGGCGACACCGACTCTTCCTCCAGTACCTGGGTCTCCCGGAAGCCACGGGCATTATCTGGCGCCCAAACCCGAATCTTTCCGTCCATAAAACCGCTCGACACGAGCCGGTTGTTGCCGGGGATAAAACGCACTTTGTAGTAGTCCTTTGGCACTCTGGAACTCGTTCCAAGGTCGATCTCAGGCCTTTGGAGGCTGACGTCGGCCATCTTCCGCCCGCCTGCCGCCGTTTCTTGTCTTGACGATGTCGATGGGGCAGGTCACTCCGGCGAGGTCGCCGGCCATGATGTTTGCCACCAGTGATCGGCCGTCGGGCGAGAACGCAAGAGAATCAACCCGCCCCTTGTTGTACCCCGCGATCTCGAAGGACAGCTGCAGAGTACCCCTTGGGTTAAACGTCCAGATGCAAACCTTCCAGCCCTTGCCAATATGCGTGACGTAGCGCGATGCGCCGAGATGCCCCGTGGCCGGACAGTATGCCACAGTGCAAAAGCTGTGATTCAATAGGAATCTGTTCACGTGCAGCTTTCCCTCGGTATCAGGAGATCAAATCTCAAGTTCCTTGGAAACAGGAGATGTCCCAGAAAACGCCATCCTTGCCATCTGGTTTGCGAAAGAGAATGACAACAGCCCATTTCCCGGGCCAATGCGAACATCCTTGAGGTCCTCGCTAGCAAGCGTAGGGTCGGTGATTACCTTTCTTGCATCAAGATGCGCGATCTGAACCGCGATATTGCCCCTATTGTTGGACGAGGAGCTCCATGACACGGAAGGTATGGGTGAAGGTGTCCGGCCTTGAAGCCGGTCCGTATCGTCCCTATCGTCGGTCGGCGTACTAGTACTCCACGATGCGGAGGGTACGGAAAGGCTTACGGGTATTGAATCCGGGTTTACAGTATTATTTAGGCTATTAGCGGGCTTCATAGTATGAACTACGACGTTGTTCCTTTTGTTGGATGAGATGCCCGGTAATACGGAAAACCTGGATGCAAATTTCCGGCCTTGAAGCCGGTCCGTATCGTCCCTATCGTCGGTCGGCGTACTAGTACTCCACGATGCGGAGGATAAGGAAAGGCTTGCGGGTGCCGAGTCCGGTTTCACAATTCTATCCAGGCTCTCAGTACATGTCGTCCAATATAGAATAATTCATTAACGTTACCTGCAGACATTGACAGGCCTTGTATTCAAAAAAGGATTTGAATCA